ATCGCCTCCCTCGGTTCATGAAGCCTCTTACAACTGGGCGGCGCGTCAAGAGTTGGATCTTTCAACATGGATATCGCGTTGTTGAGCTCTACGATCAGAATCGAGTGTGGTTTGTATGCAAATACTGCCACATCCACAAGGTCATTGACACTGGCGGCAGTGGAGTTTTTGACGTATCAAAGGCCACCTCCTCAGCTGCAGCTCATCTTGGCCTTCAGAAACGAGGCCATGGCTTTACAAAAGACGGCCTGAAGCCTCGAAGAACAGGGCAGCAACTCTCTCTACGACAGACGCTGGAGACTGGTGTTGCAGTCTCTCAAGAGGCTGCCAACGCGATGGGCAACTTCAACATCCAGCAGTTTCGTGAAGTTGCAGTGTTCTGCCTTCTTGATAACAACTTGCCAATGGAGCTACTTGCAAGGCCGTCCTTTCGCGAGATGATTAGCCTTGCAAACCCAGAGGCAGAGGCAGCTTTGTGGGTAAGTCCTCGCAGTGTAGCTACCTACGCAATGCGCCTCTTCCAATATATGCAGCCACAGATTGTCTGCGCTCTGTCAGAAGCTGCAAGCAAGATCCACATAAGCTTTGATGGTTGGACGACAAAGGGTGGCAAGCGTGGATTCTTTGGAGTCGTTGCACACTTTGCTAACGCCTCTGGAGTGATACAAGATCTCCCCATCGCCCTCCCACATCTCGCAGGCTCTCATACTGGTGATGCTATCGCTGATACAATTAAAAAGACGCTCCAAGAATACAGTATTGGGAGTGATAAACTCGGCTACTTCGTCCTCGACAATGCTGCAAACAACGATACTGCAGTCTCCTCGCTCGCCCACGCGTACGACTTCAACGCTGCTCACCGACGCCTCCGCTGCGGCCCTCACACGCTTAACCTTATTGGCCAGGCAATTATCTTTGGCAGCAATCAAGAGGCGTACAACAACAACAACGACGAGCAGCTCCAAACAGAGGAGGTGTACATGCAGGAGTGGCGTCAAGAAGGGCCCTTAGGTGTACTTATCGACGTTATCAACCATATAAAAACGCCTCAACAACACGAAATTTTCCGAAGCTTCCAAACCGCCGCCAACGCCGAGTTGCCAGCTAGAGAGCGCCTCCACGTACTTGAGCCTGTGAAGCCTGTTGTTACACGCTGGAACTCTTACTACGCTGCCTTCAAACGCGCAACTCAACTCCAGGCAGCATACAACTCTTACGCTGAGCACTACATTAACGCACTCTCCCTTGAAGATCGCCGCGCTTGTCAACGTGGCAATAAACTCCCTGAAGCACCTAGTTGGATGAGATCAACAGGACTTACAGCTGCTGATTGGGCGGTGATAACAGAGTATCAGGACTGCCTAGAGCCGCTTAAGCTTGCTACGGAGAAGCTTGAGGGTCGCGGAAAGGCAGGCAAATACGGCGCTATATATGAGACTATTCCTGTATTTGAATACGTACTTGGCGCGCTCGAAGCCCGTACGCGCTCGTACGAGCAAGTTGACTTCAACCCACCTGATGCGCCTGAAGATCACCTCTTTGTTAACCTCCGCGCCGCCTGGAGTAAGGCCAACGATTACTACAACAAGCTCGATCGATCGCCAGCATACTACGCTGCTACCTGCCTCCATCCATACTACAAATACTACTGCGAGAACAGCTGGGTGGATAAGCCAGAATGGCTAACATCAGCCAACGCTGGCTTCCTGCAGCTCTGGCAGTCGTATAAGCCTCAACGTACACGTCCTCTATCTCAAACAACTGCAAAACCAAGGCATAGAGGAATAGATGATGTGATTGGCGCCCTCGTACGGCGCAACAAGGCTCAGGTAGAGGCTGCCCACGACGATGAGTACGAGCGCTGGAGAACTCAAGAGCCAGAGTGGACAAGCGAACAGTATCTTAGCGATGGCCACCCAGTCAAGTACTGGATTCAATTACGCTCAAAATACCCGTGTTTAAGCCAGTTTGCGATTGATATACTCACGATACCAGCATCTAGTTGCGACTGCGAGAGGCTCTTTAGCGAGCTTGGCGATTTACTTGAGCCGCGCCGGCGAGCTCTTGGCAGCGAGTTACTTGCTGCCCTTCAGCTTGTACGTTCGTGGAGACGAGCTGGCTTTGACGGCTTGTACAACAACGGTGATGATGAAGATAAGTGGAGTGACGTCAAAGATGAGGAGATTGTACAACAGTACGATATAGAAGGCTGGAGTACAACACCATAACCAGACTCCGCAACAATCAAATCAATCAGCCAATCAACCAATCAATCGCAATCAATCTGCTCAAAAACCCTAACAATCAATCCGCAATCAATCAGCAGCGTCGCCGCAAGCTAATCAAACCAATCGACAACCTTAAGATTGATTGATTTGATTGTTGCGGAGTCTGGTAGAGATGGTGACGTTCTGAACACTCCAATTATCTTTCTACACGCTAGGTTGTGCAGTGATTGTAGGAGGCTAGTGGCGTAGCTTTGGTTCTTCCAGTATATTTGTGATCCGTAGTCTGCAACGCTTGTGACGCACGCTAGGTATAGTTGTCGTACTGCTTTTGGGGAGAGTCCTCTTTCGATGTTGGCTAATCTCCCTAGTCTATAGAATGCTTTCCTTGCTTGGCTTACGCGTGTAGCAATATGTTCCTTAAAGGACAGTCTATTGTCTATGTGGATGCCTAGCCATTTGATTGTGTCTTTCGGTCAGACATGCCAACAAGCAAGCTGATTGATTGACTTGATTGAAGATTGATCCAAACGTCAATCAATTCAAGATCAATTTGTAAAAATCCTTAGCGCCGTTCTATCAAGTCAAGATCAAATTGTAGTTGTAGATTGATTGACTTGATTGACGTTTTTGATTGCGATCGCGATCGCGATCGTGATAGCTTTAGTGTCAATTTTTTAGTGTTGAGTTTCCCGCAATCTCATCTGATTGGCTGCCTGTATATCTCATCCAGACACACTAGCCACACTAGCCACACTAGCCACAGTAGCCACAGTAGCCACACTAGCCACAGTAGCCACACTAGCCACAGTAGCCACACTAGCCACAGTAGCCACTTCATTTCCTGTTTAACCTACCTCTAACGTGGATGGCAAGCGAGTGGGCCAGGCAAGCGAGTGGGCCACCCCACCAACTTTTGTAACTTCAAAGCGACTTATCTCAACAACGCGATAATATTATTGCTAGATATTGATACAGTAGATTACTCTATATTAAGAGTATTAGTGTTGCATGTGCGCGAGTTGTGCCCAGTCTCCTTGCACCTGGTGCAGCGCCTTTGAGCGCGCTGGCTAAGGCCTGATCGCGCTCCTCCTTGACGCTCTTCATGAGCAATCTGCTGGTCAGCCTCATTTTGAGCTAGTATATCCTCTCCAGCTCCCTTTGTGAGTACTCCATGCTTCTGTATACGCCTTTTAGAGCGCTGCCTACGCGCTGAGGCTGCGCTGTTAGCCTTCTCAAGACTAGAGATCCGATCGCGCATCAGCTCAGCAGACAGCATCATCACCTCAGCGCCCTTCTTCAGCTGGTCAATCGCCTCAATGATCGAAGCTGGTGATGAGCTCTTATGCTGGCGCACGCGCTCACGTATAAGGCTTGACTGAGCCTCAAGCTCACGCGCGTTGCTCGGCGTTTGAGCTACCCAGGGAGCATCTGGTAGAGCTGCTGGAGGAGTAGGTGTACGCAGCTGTACATCTAGCTTTGATAGAACAGCCTCTGGTTGTAGAGGAACAAGGCCTGCGCCGCGGAAGGCTGAGTAGATATTAGCTGGCGTGAACGCTCGATCAAACGCAGCCTTAAACGCAGGCAGAAACTCTAGCTTGGTGATGTGGTTGATGTGGTTGCGCATGAGGCTCTCCACCTCACGGCTATACGCGCGCTTTAATGGCGAGAAGCAGCCAACATCAAGTGGCTGGAGTAGGTGAGATGAGTGAGGAGGCATACAGAGCGTATGGATATTGTTCTCCTTACAGAGCTCCTGGAACTCTAGAGATTGGTGGCTCCTATGGCCATCAATAATAAGCAGGCGACGCGCGCCTATAGTACGAGCCTGCGTGTGAGCGTTGAAGTGCTTTAGCCACTCAACTCCAAGCTCATTATTCGTCCAGCCATTATCGCTGACTGCGATCGCCCAGTCGCGTGGGATATCCTCCTCATACCACGCTGATAGGTGGTACTGACCAGCGAAGATGAGGAACGGTGGCACTGACCAGCCACCAGCGCTGATGGCAGCAATCAGCGTTACCCACTCGCGATTGCCTGGCTGAATACTCTTCCGCCGGCCTCTTCTCTCTGATCCTGTTATAACCAGCTGCGTTGTAATCTTGCCCATCATAAAGCCAGCTTCATCAAAGTTGTAGACATCCTCATCGCAGATACCCTGCTCAGCCTTTATCTCTTCTACAAGCTTAAACCACCTCTTTATTAATGTCGCATCCTCACACATAGCTCTCTGCCTATCGTACGCTCGGTTGAAACACGTCCGAAGACTGTCTGTACGCTTAACAAAGTTGGCTGGCCACTTCTGCCCAACCTGGCCAGCGCCGCGCGCAGCCAGCAGCTTATCAGCCATATCGCGTGCAGCTGCGTAGGTAGGCGCAAACCCGCGCTGATCTAGGTGAAGTATATAGCTAATAATCACCTCCTCTTCTCTCTGGGTAAGCTTCCTTGAGTTAGGCTGGCAATCGCGTCGTGCAGGTATACCAGCGCGTCGGCGCGTGAGTGTCATTCGGGCGACTTCAAATGTCCGCGCAGCGTCTCTATTAGACTGGAGCTGGTTTCGGGTAGTAGCTGAGATAGCTAGCTGTATATCAGCTTCATAAGAAGGGTTTTGGGATTGTTTTGGTGGAGCCATAATTGATTGAAGTTAGGTAGATGCAAAAAGTTGGTGGGGTGGCCCACTCGCTTGCCTGGCCCACTCGCTTGCCATCCACGTTATCGCTAGTCTATATCTATCAGCTATTGTCTCATCTGTATCTTAATACTATCCTACACACTATGCCGCCTAAACGCTCGTCTGATCGATCTACTGGACCAAAAAAGCGCGTTAAAAACAGCAGCGCGTCGCAGCTATCGCAGCCATCGCAGCCCGAACAGCCTGAGCAGTATACACCTATACTATCGTCGTCTCGCGATCTCGATACTGTGGAGGAGAGTTTTGAGTACCGGCTGCTTAGTCAGATCGCTGATGCTGCAGTCGATACAGCAGTCGATCTATCGCGCGATGGTACACAGGCATTAACTCCTCTAGCTACCGACGCGAGCGATTTCACTGATCTTAACGGCTGGTTCGAAGATCGATACGAAGGCCTTAATTAGCTAGATATACCACGATATATAAAGCCGCTAAGAACGCTTAAAGGCAGAAAAAGCTGGGTGTTTGCACACGGCTATCGCGTCGCATTGATATCCGAGCCATCCCGTACTTTCTGGATCTGCCAACACTGTTATCAACACCGCCGAGTTGATGGGAGGCAGGCTCTTGAGGTGACGCGCTCCACCACATCAGCGATATCTCACATGGGCCAGAACCGAGCTGGCCACCACCTCAACCGCCAAGGGCAGTCTACCTAAGCTATACTACCTCGTGGGCAGATGACACTGCGAGTACTAGGCGAGAGCGGTGCTGTTGTCCCACAAGCAATCGCTAATGCGATTGGAAACTTCAACGTACAGGCGTTTCGATATGCGGTAGTAAGCTGGCTAATTAAGAACAACCACCTGCTCCAAGAGATAGAGACAGCTAGTTTCCGAGAGATGGTTGCATACGCTAATCCAGAGGCAGTTGACGCGCTGTGGACCAGTCGAACAAGCGTCAAAAGCTACGTTATAAGGCTCTATCGCGAGCTCTAGCCGCAGGTTGTCGAGGCCCTGTCGCAAGCTACTAGCAAAATACATGTAAGCTTTGACGGCTGGACGACAAAAGGTGGCAAACGAGGCTTCTTTAGCGTTGTTGCTTACTACGCCGACGAATCTAGTGTTGTTATAGACCTACCGATCGCTCTACCACAGCTGACAGGCTCACACTTGCACAGTTGCCAAAAAGCAAGTTGACTTGCTTGCTTGTTCAAACTTGCTTGGTTCAAACCAAGCAAGCAAGTCAAGTCAGAGCTGCGCAGCGAACCAAGCAAGTCAAGTTAACGTGCCTTACTTGCTTGACTTGCTTGGTTTACTTGGTTAAATTAACTGTAATTGACTGCATAGCAGATCTCGCGATACTTTTTTGTTGTTGCAGTTTTTTAGTGCTGCAACCAAGGTTGTCAGTAATCAATATCTCATCAATATTGTTGTTTGATTTGTTTGATTCGGAGCCAACCAACTAACCAACAGTTAGCCACTGTATTTCTGTCAATCAATCAACCAATCTTGAGAACAAAATGTTGATAGGATTGGTGTTGTTTGATAGTAAGCGAGGGAGGGGGATACCTAGGTGAGGCCTCTGGGATAGCTGCTCAACGACGAATTCTTAGTGTTGGATCTTGCTTACTAAGCCTACTCGCGTGTAAGTTATATGACCTAGGTTCCATCCCATCTCTCACTCACTCCAGGCTAGTACGTACGAGGCTTAGCGCCCACAACGCTAGCTGGCAGAGACATAGATCTCAATTCCTGTAGCACAATACACAACACGATTCACACATGTTCTATTCCTAGTGCTACTGACATCAGGCTTATAACATTTAACAACACCTTACTTTCTCGCGGCTCCGGCTTACTTTTAGCCTTATCCATGCCCTCTATACCAGCAAAACGCAAGCCCGAGGCTGCCGAAGAAGCTGATACTCCCTTCAAGCGAGCACAACGTACGCGCAAACCTACGCTCAAAGCGCTGTTGGGTGACGGCAGCCAGCCAACCCAGCCGATAGAGCTGCCAGAAAGTACGCCGGATCCGCCTACAGAGCCGCCTACACAAGTTATCGAGCCGCCCACACGGGCTATTGAACCGCCATGTAAGCCTGTACAACAACCCGAGGAGCGCCCTCGGCGGGCATCACCACTGCCTATTTTGGCTGCCTCACAAGCCTCTCGGCTCACTGATGAGCCAGCCTGGGAGTCGCAGTTAATGTTTGATAAGCCAGAGGACTCTATTGTACAGCCTTTAGCTTTCTCTAGCGCTGCCACTGAGCACAGTCCGCAACAATCAATTAAGTGGGTCCTAGAAGGTTCAGATTGGATTGATTGATTACCGCTTTAAGCCTAGTAGTTACCTATAGGAGTTTAAGCCCTACCTAGATAGGTAAGTGGGTCTAGGAGAGTGACCGGATTGAATTGATTGTTGCGGAGTCTACCACTGAGGCTTCGGTGGAGGAGGATAGCGCTGTGAGCGTCGATTTTCGCGACTTTGAGGGCGTCGATTGGTCGCGATTAAAGGGGTTTGTCGCGCCGCTGAGCACTCCACGAGGCAAGGCAAGCTGGATTTTTCAACACGGCTGGCGTGTCTGGAAGGAGGGTACTCACCACCCAGATGAGTTGTACTTTGTGTGCAAGTACTGTCATATTCATAAGCTACCTAATGGTGTACACCGAGTAACGAAGTCAACCACTGCCGCCAACGGGCACCTCCAGCTTGATAAACCTGGTCATCGGCTCAGCAAAGATGGTCCAATCCTAAGCAAACCTCTCCGCAAACATGGACAACAATCACTTCGTCAGGCAGCTCTAAGCGGTGTCAAATTTAGTCTAGAGGCGTACAAGACTATAGGAAACTTCGACGTACAAGAATTTCGGCAGGCAGCTGCGCTCTGGCTGGTCGACAACAACAGACCACTCCGCGAGTTTGAGACGCCGGCTTTTCGCAAGATGATCAGGCTTGCTAATCCTGAGGCAGAGGCGGCGTTATGGAGGTCTCATAACAGCGTGTCAGCGTTCGTGATGAGGTTGTACAGTTGGCTACGGCCTCAGGTGGTGCGCGCGTTGGCTGAAGCCGAGAGCAAGGTACATATAAGCTTCGATGGGTGGACGACAAAAGGCGGCAAACGTGGCTTCTTTTCTGTAGTTGCTCACTACGCCAACAGTAAGGGCGCGATAGTTGACCTACCCATCGCGCTGCCGCAGCTGGTGGGTGCCCACACTGGTGAGGCGATAGCTGACGCTGTAACCAAAATCCTGCAATCCTTCAGCATTAATCGCAGCAAACTCGGCTACTTTGTGCTCGATAACGCTTACAATAACGACACCGCTGTTAACAAACTCGCCGCGATGTACCACTTTTCTGCCTCCGATCGCCGCCTCCGCTGCGCTTGCCACATACTTAACCTTGTTGGCCAAACGATTATGTTCGGGAGGGATGCTGACGCGTATAACAACGCCCTGGAGAACACAAAGATGGAGGATTTTTACATGAAGGAGTGGCGGAAAGAAGGACCGCTTGGCGTGTATCTTGATATTATCAACTACATCAACACGCCGAAGCAGTGGAGTATTTTTGAAGATTGCCAACGCGAGGCAGTTAACAGCATGCCCACAGGCGCCAGCGGCGGCACTCGCGAGCCAATTAAGCCGTGTGTTACACGTTGGAACAGCTATTACGACTGCTTTAAGCGCGGAGTTCAGCTCCAACAAGCTATCAACGCATACGCCACGTACCACATTCGCGAGACTGAACAGGCTGACGAACAGGCAGCTATTAGAGGAAACAAGCTGCCTGATGTGCCGCGGTGGATGAGGTCAGACGGCCTTACGGCGGCTGACTGGGCGGTGATTACTGAGTACATGGCGATACTGCAGCCGCTCAAGTTTGCTACAGATCGCCTCCAAGGCCGCGGCAAGTGTGGCCGTTTTGGCGCACTCTACGAGGTCATCCCAGTATTTGAGAGTGTGATAACTGAGCTGGATGCACGCCTTCGGCCATACGAATCGGTCAACCACGAGCCATCTGAGGCGCCCGAAGATCACATCCCGATCAACCTGCGAGCCGCGAGGCGAAAAGCGAGCAATTACTTTACTAAGATCCTCCAAAGTCCCATTTACTACGCAGCTACGGCACTACATCCACGATATAAAACATACTCTAAGCGCTTCTGGCGCGACAAACCTACACAATTGAGCACCGCGCACGCGAAGTTTCTGCGGGTTTGGGCTGCCTACAAGCCTGCCGCTGCTGCCACAACACCAACCCCTGCGCCAAAACCTACCATGAGCAGCTTTGACGACGCTATCGACGCTATACTAGATGAGGACGGCGAGCATACATTGGAGGTGGAGGATGAGTACGATAGCTGGTTAAAAGAGCCTATGTGGACGTCTGATCAACACAAGGAGGGTCCAACAGCTGTACAGTACTGGTTATCGTTGAAGCCGAAGTATCCACATCTTTCACGATTGGCGATCGACGTGTTGACTATACCCGCCTCCAGCTCTGATTGTGAGCGCGTTTTTGCGGGAACTGGCGATATAATTGAGCCACAAAGGCGGAAAATTGGCGCGCAGTTACTGGCTGCTTTGGTGTGCTTGCAACGGTGGACTCGTGCAGGTTTTACAACACCAAGCACGACAACAGCAGCAAAGCATACTGATGAGGAGCTCACGGAAGAGTTTGCGATAGGAACGTGGGAAGAGCCGCCTGCAGAATTGTCATAGAAACGTCCCTTCAGAACCTTAAGTCTATCAATATTCAATCAATCAACCAACCAAAAATTGGCTCTTCAGTCTCATCAACTCAAACAAACAAACTGTAGCCCTAAGAAATGAGCCAGTCAATCAACATCTACGCCTCAAATGTTGGTTGTTTTGTTTGTTGACTTCTCTGGCTGCAACTACCTCAGCTATTTCCCAAACAGGCTATGATAGGCTAGACGGCTGCTAAAACGGCTTAGCGCTCTACTCCTATTCTAACGTTAGCCTTGTTTTGAAGCCTATCACGATGCCCATTTTCCTATATCAACGCTTTTTTCTGGTGTTTTCGACTGCGCTGATATGGCCAAACGCCGCGCACTACATACCTCTTCGAGTAGCAAACGCTTAAGAGTAGCTGCTGCTACCGACAACGTTGTCTCAACTCCTGCGGCCTCACCTCAGCCAGCATCTCAGCCAGCATCTCAGCGTCGATCACCTCGTAAAGCCCTCGCTGCCGCAAGCCAGGCCACCGCCTCGTCGCTAGTCCCTACATTCGAGTCGCAGTTTTTGGAGTCGCATGTGGAGGATGATATCGTTGCGCCTACCGAGGGCAGCAGGGCTGTTACGGTGGCTACAACTGAGGCTGGACACAAAGATAATGGCCAAGATAAGATGAGCAGCGCTGCTGATAGCTTTGACGGCATTGACTGGGCTCGTTTACCTGGCTATATGAAGCCACTAGCGGGCTCTAAGCGTCCCAAAAG